ACTTCTTGTAACACCACCAGTCGTATTCCCACGGTAGCCTAAACCACAATCTAACTTGGCCATATTTTAACCTAGCCTGATTTTGGGACTCGGGCTCCGGGACAAATCTTTTTAACAGTATCTGGAGCAAGAGATAAGCTAGATAAATTGTGAGTTAGCCTACATTTTTCTCCCTTCTTCTAACACCACCAGTCTTATTCCCACGGTACCCTAAACCACAATCAACTTGGCCGTGTTTTTAAATAAACCCTGTAGCCAGCTTCGAGATCCTCCTGTGAACTCAGAATCGTGAGTTGATCGAAACCCACCATAGGAGTGAAACTGTTTGGAATATAAGCATAACATATGCGGCTGCCTAGAGTCGCATAGGTGAGATGGGGCGGCTGTATAAATCGAATAATTAAAGAGAAATAAATTAAATCCCCCCCCCAGAAAACCCTTTAGGCTTCCAGCTCAATTGAGTAAAGCAAGCGGCAAGTTGTGTATCAAGGCAAGTTGAGTATCGAGTGCACCGTGGCTGCCTCCGTTTTAGGATTGATCTCACCTACTCCTTTAATCCGAATTATCAGCCAAGGCCCATTTATTGGCACAGAGGCCGATGGGGCGCAGGGATTCTTTTTAAACTGGTTTGAGGAAAAGCCCCTCTTTTTGAAGTTCACGGAAGCTTCCTTCGGAGGAATTAGATCCGCCACACACACAAACACACACATACAAAATGTAGCTTGTGCAAAAATGAAATGGTTTGAAATACGGGGCTTCCCCTTCGTTTAAACCCGCCATGAATTCAGTTTAAATGAAGTACCGTAGCAACCCAAGAAAGGGACCGACTGAGATGAATTAAGAGTGGGGTGTCCCCCCAAAAAGGTGGTTAAATGCTGCAGATATAAATAGAAATAATAATTATAATTATTCTGGGGGTCCAAAACGGGAAGGGTCGAAGATCCTTCTGAAAATCGTCTCGGGTGGGGGTGGGATGGGGGGCAGAGGAAGGCCAAACACGGTTGTGAAAACGACCTAAAAACCCTGCTCTAAGTAGTCCAATGGCGCCCGATTTGAGATTGACTTCCGAGAAAACCATTCGGTTCACACTTTGCACGTGGGAATGTGTCTCCGTGTTTTAAGGCCTGGATGTCCAGGCGGCCCCTGGTGAGTAATTAGGTCATTTAGGGTTGGACGTTAGTGTGAAGCCTCGACGGGGTTTTTCCAATCCAGAAGCTGTGAAGCAGGTAGATCTCGTTGGAAACGGATTGCTTTTTAAGGATCCTTGCATTCCCAGATTCTTGCATTCAACTCGCAGGGCCTGACTTTCGAGTCACGAGAGATTTTCCTTGTCGCTTGGAAAACCTCCCTCTTCCCCCCCCCCACTTAATTTTCAGAAGGCAACCCGCGCCAAATAATTAGGGCAGCTCCCCCCACCCCCACACTATCCAGGTCTCCTCGGGACTGATGAGACTACAAGTCCCATCTCCCCAACTCGAATTAGTAGCCGAACTTGTAACCTGGGCTTCTGTCCCAGAAGGAATGAAACCTGATTTGAATTCGCCATGGATTGTCACCCATTGTGGCTCGGGAATCCAATGGACAGTAGTTTATAGGGGATCTCCTTAGATGGATTGAGTGGTTGATGATCTATCTATCTATCTATCTATCTATCTATATCTATCTATCTATCTATCTATCTATCTATCTATCTATCTATCCATATCTATATCATCTAGCTAGCTAGCTAGCTGGCTGGCTAACTATCTTCTAATTTACATATATAATTCTATCTTCTATCTAATTATGTAATTCTATATATCTATCTAATTTATCTAATTATGTATCTAATTTATCTATCTATCTAATTATGTATCTAATTTTATCTATCCATCCATCCATCCATCCATATCTATCTCTATCTATCTATCTATCTATCATCTATCTATTTATCTCTCTCTCTCTCTTCTAATTACATATCTAATAATTAGATCTATCTATGTATATAATTCTATTTTCTATCTAATTATGTATCTAATTCTATCTAATTTATCTATCTAATTAATCTATTATCTAATTATCTAATTATGTATCTAATTTTATTATCTATCTATCTATCTATCTATCTATCTATCTATCTATCTATCTATCTACTTATCTACCCTGTTTCCCCAAATAAGACATCCCCTGATAATAAGCCCAATTAGGCAGGCAATAAGGCCAAGCGCTTATTTCAGGGCTCAAAAATATATGACAGGGTCTTATTTTGGGGGAAACACTCTTATCTATCTATCAATCAATCTAGCTATCTATCTAATTATGTATCTAATTATATCTGTCTGTCTGTCTGTCTACCTACTATCTATCTATCTATCTATCTATCTATCTATCTATCTATCTATCTATCTATCCATTATCTATCTATCTATCTATCTATCTATCTATCTATCATCTGGAAACCAACTTCCCATATCTGCCCCAGGCCCCTTTTAAGAGATCCGAGCCGGTTAGAATGGGGGAAGAAGCACACCAGAGTTGGGGTACACCGCCGTTTTCTTCAACCTGTTCGGGAGAGCCAGGCGGTTCCTAGACCGGTGGGTCGGCTCCTTCACTCCCTCTTGATCCTCTCCCCCCCCCACGCACGAGCCAGCTTTTAGGATCGCTCCCTCTGCGCCGCGCTCTTCTCTTCGCCCAACGGGAGATCAAACCAACCGACGCCGTTGCAGTACGTCGGGGACTTGTTCCCTTTATTCGCCAGGCTCTTGGATCCAAAGGGATCCAAGGCTTTACTTCTGGAGATCTCCGGCCGATCCGGTTTTCGTGGAGAAGCGTGGAAGTGGAAAGGGGGGGGGGATCCGATTGGAATTCCTGCGGCTCTCCGCTGTTTGTCGGTTGGGTTGCTTGCAGCTGAGGTGCGGAGGACTAGCGCCTTAAGGGAGGCCGGGAGAGCAAAGAAACGGGTTTCTGTCGGCTCACTCCGATGTACTGTGGAGTAAAACGTCTTAAGGGACGCGGTGGCTCAGTGGCTAAGACGCTGAGCTTGTAACGGGGTGAGCTCCCGTGACTTGTCCCAGCTTCTGCCAACCTAGCAGTTCGAAAGCACGTAAAAAATGCAAGTAGAAAAATAGGGACCACCTTTGGTGGGAAGGGAAGAGCGTTCCGTGCGCCTTTGGCGTTGAGTCCTGCCGGCTACATGACCACGGAGACGTCTTTGGACAGCGCTGGCTCTTCGGCTTAGAAACGGAGATGAGCACCGCCCCCTAGAGTCGGGAACGACTAGCACATATGTGCGAGGGGAACCTTTTTACCTGTCTTAGTGACCAAAAGAAGTTGGTGAGCTTGGGGTGTACGCCTTTCCTCCTTTTGGGGAAGGGGCAAAGCAGAAATCCTTTTGACAGCCTCTGGATTTCCATGGGAGTCCAGAAAAGGAGGGGAGGGGGCTTCAAAACTGTTTCCAGCAGAGAAACTGGGACTTTTCTTACCTACCTTTAAACTGTCAGAATTATTCGTATTAATCTTGTTTTTTGTTATTGGATGTAATTCTGGATCGATTTTTAACATTTTCTTTCTTGATTTAAGAGCAGGGAGAAGTTTAGGGGGCTTCCTCACAAGTAAAGCTTGACAGATTGAGGTTTTGGGGTGCAAATAATTCCTTGCTGAGTTTTGGTGCGGTTTGGGCCCAGGGTTTGGGGGTGGGGGAAAGAGAGGAGGTGGGGGGGACAAGCTAAAGAAAGAGAAACCTGAAAGACAGAACTCTCGACATGGCCTGGAGCACAGGAAAGCAGTCTCTTAAGATCCCCTCCAATACAGGTAGCCCTTGACTTACAACTGTTTCAATTAGTGACCAGAATTACAACAGCACTGAAAAAGGTGGCTTTAGGACTGGTCCTCACACTTATGACCGACAGGTGCTTGGCAAATGGTATGTATTTACAACAGTTGCAGTGTCCTGGGTCCCAAATGATCATCATTTATGACCTTCTTAGCTGGATTCTCCAATCCAGATCAAGAGGGGACAGCCAAATTCCCTTAACAACCTCATGATTCATTTAACAACAGATGCTATTCGTTTAACAACCATGGCAAAAAAGTTAAATACTCCCTGAATGACCACTGTGGTTGGATAATTCTGGTACCCACTGTACTCGTAAGTCGAGGACTACCTGCCCCTGGCTGATCAAATAATGATCATCGTTATTTATAAATATATAAATTAAAAAAGCCAATTGTGTATCATAAAAGCACACCAAGCAATGTGAGGTTTCTCTATCTAGGACCAAAGCAAGGCATTATTTGAGCCAGAAACCCCAATTTCTAAAGCTTTACTCATGAGGAAGCTCCCTAAATTTCTCCCTGTTCTCCCTGTTCTTTTCTCCCTTACCAATTTTAAAACAACCCTTTTTCTTCTGCTTTTTCATTTATTTTTTTTGCTTAAAAAAAAAAACCCTGTCCCCTCTCTCGGAACTGGCTTTATCACCCTTGGAATTTTTTCTTGGTCTCTTCTACCACCAGCAAAAACATTTTATGCCTGTTTTTCCATTTCTACATCTCCACCAAGCGGCACCGAATCATCCTTGTGTCTCTACTAGCAAAATAAATAAATAAATAAATAAATTCAAGTTCAGCTTCTTGGATTAAATTTGGAGTGCGCTGATCCTGAAAAGGATTGTTTGTTCCTCTGGACTTTCCCCCCCCCCTCCTGTTTTGCTGATGCTTTGCTTCTCCATCCTGTTATTTATTGATTTGTTACGGGATTTGCAGTGTTACTATGAATGTATTTGATCACAAGCTCTCCCACTTCTTTCTCCAAAATAGGTTGTTTTCCTACCCCCTCTAATTTTACTGGAGGGTGGAAGGATGTGATGGGATTTTTCTGGCGTAAAAACAAAACAATCAGCAGATTTTTAATTTTTTTTTTTAAGAGTGTGATCGTTTCACACTCTTTAGGCCCAGATTTTTCCCCCTTCCTCTTTTCCTAGCTTTTAACACCCGTTTTCTCCTCTTCCTCGCTTCCTTTACAGACCATCCTCAACTCCATGCATAAGTACCAGCCGAGGTTCCACATAGTAAGAGCGAACGACATCCTCAAATTACCTTACAGCACTTTCCGAACATATGTGTTCCCCGAAACCGACTTCATCGCGGTGACCGCTTACCAAAATGACAAGGTAAGAACCTGGTGGGATACGCCCCCCCCCCCCGGGGTGGGGGATTAAGGGTTGGGGGCAGTAGTGGGATTCAAGTAATTTAACAACCGGTTCTCTGCCCTAATGATTTCTTCCAACAACCAATTTGCCAAACTGTTCAGAAAAGTTAACAACCGGTTCTCCCGAAGTGGTGCAAACTGGCTGAATCCCTCCACTGATTGGGGGGGTGGGGTGTTCTCTCTTCCTTAATTTCCTGGTTAGTTTCCCCCCCCTCTACTTTCAGCTCTTACTTCTAAAGGGCTAAGTTTGGAAAACCGAACCGGCTGAAACAGTAAAATATTTCCGATGGGTAATTCAAGATAGACTGCCATGATCCGTGGAGGTTCCATCGAGCTTTAAGCTTGTCTCTTTTTGCTCCTCTCACTCTCTCTCTCTTTCTTTCTCTCTTTTTTTAAGTCCAGGAATTTAAGACAGGCAACCCCCCCCCCAATCAAAGCAGGGTGTAAAGCTAGTATTGGAGAAAGAGAAATCTAAACTCTGTTCCTTCTCTTTTTTTAAAAAAAAAGTCCAAGAATTTGGGACAGGTAACCACCCCATCAAAGCGGGGTGTAAGGCTAGTAATGGGGAAAGCGAAATCTAATCTCTGCTCTATGATTTTTGACTGGAGGCTGAGCTTTAAATTATATTCTGCCTTTATTACTTTATAGGTAACTCAAGCCAGCGAATATATCCAATATTCCTCCCTGCTCCTATTTCCCCCATAACAACAAGGTGTGAGGTGGTTTTGGGCTGAAAAGAAAGGGACTGGCCCAAAGTCACCAAAATCTGACTTTCATGCTTGGGGTGCAGCTAGAACTCACTGTCTCCTCGTGACCTGTTCAAGGTCACCCAGGTGGTTTTCAGGCTCACCATCTCCTGGTGATTAGCCCAAAATCACCCAGTCAACTTCTCGGGCCTAAGGCGGGACGAGAACTCTTAAACATCTGGTGATTGACCCAAACTGACCCAAGCAGCTTTTGTGCCTTGGGGCAGGACTAGAATTCACACCTCCTGTTTTCCAGGCCAGAAGCTTAACCACTACACCAAAGTGGCTCTTAATATGTCTATATGAATATTGGAAGGGAATATCTCAACCGTGAAACCTATATATCTACATATCTACATATCTCCATCTATCTCTATCTCTATCTCTATCTCTGTCTCTGTCTCTGTCTCTATCTCTATCTCTATCTCTATGTCTCCGTCTCCGTCTCCGTCTCCATCTCTGTCTCTGTCTCCATCTCCATCTCCAATCTCCATTTTTTTTGGTTTTTTTTAAAATTTGATTTATATGCCGCCCTTCTCCGGAGACTCAGGGCGTCTTATAATGTGCTAAGCAATAGCCTTCATTCTTTTGTATATTTATACAAAGTCAGCTTATTGCCCCCACATACTGGGTCCTCAATTTACCTACCTTAGAAAGGATGGAAGGCTGAGTCAACCTTGAGCCTGGCGAGATTCGAACCTGCAGTAATTACAGGCATCTGGTCTTAACCAGCTTAATAACAGGGTGTCTTAGACCACTGTACTACCAAGGCTCCATATCTTATCTTATCTATCTATCTATCTATCTATCTATCTATCTATCTATCTATCTATCTATCCAAATATATATATATATTCAAACTATCACTCTGTCTATCCTCCTGATTATTTTTTTTTTTGTCCTCTAGGACAAAAATACCTTCGAGGTTTTAAGAGGTGTTTCTGAATTTGTATCTGTCTTCCAATGTAATCTTCGAGAAACTCCTTCAAAAGATGCTTTCATATAATTTTTCAGTGTTCATTTTTCCTCATTGGGGGGGTGGGGAGAATAATAATAGAATAAACGGAGGATTATTGTAGGCTCCACTAGTTATGTTCACTAGAAAAGTAACCCGTGTGACTATTGCCCGCATACATATGAATCTGGCCTCTTCCTAAAACGATGGCTAGTTTTTTCCTGACCCACCAAGCTACTCAACCTTCATTGAAACCTAGTTTAAATGTGTGAAACTACATGTGGTTAGATTATGGGTCTGTGTGCAGATTACAGCTTTAAATTAGCTTGATTCTGCAAACGTTTAGCTAACCCTTGGACAAGGGGTGCTTGGAAGCACGGACCAGTTTTCCCTGAATTTTGGGGGGCAGGAAAGGGGCAGGGAGGTAGAGAACTGGGGACTGAATTCCCCCCCCCCCCGTAACCAGGTTACGCTGCCGATTGAATAAATCAGGTTTTACACTTTTTTTTTTTTGCTTTAATTTATATGCCACCCTTCTCCGGAGACTCAGGGTGGCTTACAATGCGTTAAGCAATAGCCTTCATCCTTTTGTATATTTATACAAAGTCAGCTTATTGCCCCCACAAACTGGGTCCTCAATTTACCTACCTTAGAAAGGATGGAAGGCTGAGTCAACCTTGAGCCTGGTGAGATTTGAACTTGCAGTAATTGTAAGCAGCAGATGTTAATAACAATGCTTTAGTCCACTGTACTACAGGCATTTCCCTGAATGCACGAACCGGGAAGTGAGTTTATTTCTATTGATATTATTGAATTTATTACATTTGTCTGCCGCCCATCGAGGCAACTCTGGATGGCTTCCCACCCTAAAATGAATCCCTAAATGCAACCTATAGCTATAGAAAGTCACATTAACACTTATGAGCAAATACAGGCTTCCTTGCAAGATGCCATTTGTTTAAAATTCACTAAGTAAAATTCTAAAACTGATCCAGTCGAGTAGGCCTTCCTAAGTGGCTTTTCTCCAGGATCTTTTACCTGATCCCGGTTATGGGAATCCAAACCAATCCCGGGTTTCCATCAGAGGGGTCGGGGCGTGCAAAGCCTTCTTGAAATACAAGCAAGAAACCCCCGTTTTTTGTGTCTCTCGCAGCAAAAACCTCTGGTATAAAATCGGTGGCGTTTTTTCTTTCTTTCTTTCGGAAAAGGCGCTTTTGATTTGCGGCTCAGCCCTAGAAAAGGAAGGAAGGAAGGAAGGAAATTGTTGACCCAGGGGGAAAAAAAGTTTTGAGTTTGCTTTTAAAGTTCAATTAAAGTCCGGATCCAAGGTATAATAAACAACAAACCCCCCCAGCTGGAAATTGGATAGGAATTAAATTTTGGAAGCCGGCAGGGAAGGAAGGAAGGAAGGAAGGATGGATGGATGCGGGGAAATTTTCTTTTGCAAACGCTTGCAGGAAAAAGGCCTTTATTTCATTGCCGGTCTCTTCCCCCCTCGTTTCCCCCCTCCCACTTTCGCTTGGGGGCTTTCTCTCTGCGGTGGGCGCTTGGCGTTTGGAGGGTCATTCATCGATTGACAGCCTTCGCCCTTCAAATTGACGAGGCCACCAGGCGAGAGGAGCCCAGCCAGCCTGGGTGAAAAAGTAGGGGGAGAAAAGTCCCTGTAAAATCGACTTTTCTAGATCTCTGGGCCCAGAGATTGGGGTGAGGAGGGGAGACCCTAACCCCAATCCTAACCTTAATCTTTTGCCGCTCCCAAAAGGCCGAGCCCAGGTCCTTCCCCCTCCCCTCCCTCAATTCACACTTTCTTCTATCTATCCAAACCAGCATTGTCTCCATTTCTGCAACATTCTGTTTTAAAACCGAATAGTCCTCGACTTACAACAGTCTTGCTTAGTGACCGGGGTTACAACGGCACTGAAAAGCATGACTTATGGCCAGAGGTGAAATCCAAATTTTTTTACTACCGGTTCTGTGGGCGTGGCTTGGTAGGCGTGGTGTGGCTTGTTGGGTGTGGCAGGGGAAGGATACTGCAAAATCTCCATTCCCACCCTACTCCAGGGGAAGGATACTGCAAAATCCCCATTTCCTCCCGACTCCTGGGGGAAGGATATTGCAAAATCTCCATTCCCACCCCACTCTGGGGCCAGCCAGCTACTCAAAATTTCCGCTACCGGTTCTCCAGAATTTATCAGAACCTGCTGGATTTCACAACCTGCCTATGGCCATTTTTCACACTTATGACCATTGCAGTGGTTCCCCCCTCCATGTGCACCCGCCTTTGCCCTCCTTTGCCCCCCAAACCCTAACCCTGAGCCCTCCTCCAATAGGCCGAGTTCAGGTCCTTTCCCCTTCCCCCATCTTTCAATTCGCACTTTCTTCTATCCAAACCAGCATTGTCTCCATTTCTGCAACGTTCTGTTTTTAAACCAGATAGTCCTTGACTTACAACAATCTTGCTTAGTGACCGGCGTTACAACGGCACTGAAAAGCACGACCTATGGCCCTTTTGCACACTTTTGCACACCATTGCGGCATCCCTCCCACCCCTCCACGGGAAAGACATTCAGATGCTTGACACCGGAGTCCTATTTATGACGGTGGCAATGTTTCGGGGGGGGGGGGCGGTGGTGTCATACGATCCCCTTTTGCGACCTTGTCGGAAGGTTGCAACAAGGGAGCTCGTGACTCTGGGACACGGCCCCCGTCATAAACGTGAGTCAGTTTGCCAAGCATCTGGATTTTGATCATATGACTGACGGTCCGAAGTGTGAAAAAAGGATCATCGGTCACTTTTTTTCAGTGCTGTTGTCGCTTTGAACGGTCACTAAATGAACCGTTGTAAGTTGAGGACTATCTGTACTTTAGATGCAGCAAAAGAGACCAGTGATGGCTAACCTTTTTGCCATCGCATGCCAAAAGCGGGGGGGAGCACGGGGGGTCGCACCCATGTGTGCCGACATCCATAATTCAATGCCCCCCTGCACCCATCCCCCGCTCCCCCACCGCTTTTGGCAAGGAATGGCATGGTGGGCACAATAGGCCCGTTTTTTGCCCTCCCCAGTGTCCAGAAGCTTTCTTGGCGCCTGGGGAGGGCAAAAACAGCCTTTCCAACCGCCCTGGAGGTCCTCCGGAGGCCAGAAACACCCCATTTCCCGACTTCCAGTGCGCCCGGAAGGCCCGAAAATCAGCTGGCGCACTGGAGCTGAGCTATGGCAACGCTTGCGTGCCCATAGATGTGTCTCCGTGTGTCACTTGTGTCACGCGTGCCATAGATTCACGATCACGGGACTAGACAGTCACTTCTCTGAAATGGTATAAACCTTAAACAAAATTTCATTTTTTCATTTCATTTCATTTTATTAAATTTGTATACCACCCTACTCCCGAAGGACTCAGGGCGGTGAACAGCCATAAAATAAAACATATAAATACAAAATTTAAAATGGAGATAAAACAAATTAAATAAATTTGGCTGAACCATTTTAAAACCCCAATAATTTAAAACCAAATTTAAAATTCCCATTTAAAAAGAGGAAAAGTTTAGGCCAGGCCAGCTTGATGGAATAGGAACGTCTTAAGTCAATAGTCAAGAGGAGAAAAAAACACAGGAACCCCAACTTGGTGCCCTCCAGATATTTCCCAAATCTGTAGCTATGACCTTGACTTCACTTAGTTGGCGAGCTCGAAGGACTTTCAACTGTTTCTAAACATCATTTCAATTTTTCTCAGATCACCCAGCTGAAGATAGACAACAACCCCTTCGCAAAAGGATTTCGAGACACGGGGAACGGGCGAAGAGAAAAAAGGTAAATTGAGAATTTTTTTTTCCCTTAATGACAATACGATGCGATTTCTACAGGCAAATGCTGTTATTTTTTGGTTCCTGCACTTCCTCCTTATCTTAGTTTGCCCTCCTAAATATAGTTCTTCGGGATTAAGATCTGTGGTGGGGCTGACTCTGGAACAGCCGTTCACCAAATTGTATTGTAATGTTGTTATTGTTCTCTGCAACCTTATTCGTGTTTGCTCAAAACTCTGTTGGGCAGCCTTGCTATCTGGATTAAGTCTTCAGATTGCAGAAAACAAGAGAAAATTGACTCAACTTTGTAATCAAACACTGTGTTCATCCAAGGTTGGTTTAATCATGGTTTATTAAACAACCTCCTGCTGCCTGGATTTTGATAGCACTTTGCCAGAAATGCAGAGGTGAAATGCTCCCGGTTCGGACCGGATCGCTCGATCCGGTAGTGATGGAGGCGGGTGGTTCGGAGAACTGGTAGCAAAAATCCCTGACACCCCCCCATGCCCAGCTGAGCCGCACGATCATCAGAGGCTTTTTTTTTTTTACTTTTAAAAGCATTTTTTCTACAACCTCTTCGGCCAAAAAATGCTTTTAAAAGTTAAAAAAAAAAGCCTCTGATGATCGCACAGCTCAGCTGGGATCATCAAAGGCTTTTAAAAGAAAAAAAAACTTTTTTTTTCTTTGAAATGCCGCTAACGATCCAAGCTGAGTTGCCTGATCGGCAGAGGCATTTAAAAAACCCCCCTTTTTTTTCTTTTAAATGCCTCTGATGATCCAAGCTGAGTTGCCTGATCGACAGAGGATTTTTTTCTTTTAAATGCCTCTGATGATCCAAGCTGAGTTGCCTGATCGGCAGAGGCATTTAAAAGAAAAAAAAGTCTCTGCCGATCAGGCAACTCATCTGGGAACGTCAGAGCCTTTTGAAAGCATTTTTTTACAACCTCTTCCCCGGAAGAGGTTGTAGAAAAAATGGTTTTAAAAGTTTTTTTTAAAAAATGGCCACGCCCACCCAGTCACATTACCCCCCCAAGCCACGCCCACAGAACCGGTAGTAACCAATTTTAGATTTCACCACTGCATATATGTGACTTACAAGTCACAGTGGCTGAATTTATATGCAACTCATTAAATTGCAGAGAAGGGAAGGGGAGGGAAAGGAAGGGGAGGAGAAGACAAGACTAGGGATGCTATGATAGGAGTCTCCCAACATTTGAGGGGTTGCCCCAGAGAAGAGGGGGTCAACCTATTCTCCAAAGCACCTGAAGGCAGGATGAGAAAATAAGTTGACCCATATTCTTTGTGGCAAATCCTGGAAGACGGCTATCATGTCCCAATTTTGGGAGTTGAAGTCCACCCATCTTCGAGTTTGAGAAAAACTGCTCCACCATTCCAGATAAAAGAAGATTGCTCTTCTTGAAAGCCTCCGGTGATGGAGCACCACAAATTCTGGAGACAAGAGGGAGAAGGACATGGGAGGACTTGGACCTTCTCAAATGCTGATGCTGAAGATTAAAACTCATCCCCTTCCCCCCCTTTTTTTCCCCCCACTGAAAGGAAGCAGCTGACTCTGCCTTCCCTGAGGATGTACGAGGACCCCTGCAAGCAGGACAGAGACGGGGGAGAATCCGATGCGTCGTCTTGCGAACCTGCCCCAGTACGAGAATCTCTTCACTCCCCGTTGGCGACAACTCCCAGTCCTTTACGGGTCCATCGAAACAGCAGAGGTGAGGATATTTGGGAGGGTGGGAGGGGAGGGTTGCAGGATCTGCAAGGGATGGAGGCAGTGGTGAAATCCAAATTTTTTTCCTACTGGTTCTGTGGGTGTGGCTTGGCGGGCGTGGCAGGATTGGTGGGCGTGGCGTGGTTTGGTGGGCGTGGCTTGGTGGGCATGGCAGGATCCTGCAAAGTCCCCATTCCCACCCGACTCCTGGGGGAAGGGTATTGCAAAATCTCCATTCCCACCCCACTCCTGGGGGAAGGATACTGCAAAGTCCCCATTCCCACCCCACTCCTGGGGGAAGGATATTGCAAAATCTCCATTCCCACCCCACTCCTGGGGGAAGGATATTGCAACCTCCCCATTCCCACCCTACTCCTGGGGGAAGGATATTGCAAAATCTCCATTCCCACCCCAATTTTGGGGGAAGGATATTGCAAAATCCCCATTCCCTCCCCACTCTGGGGCCAGCCAGAGATTCTCCGCACTACCCAAAATTTCTGCTACTGGTTCTCCAGAACCTGTCAGGACCTGCTGGATTTCACCCCTGGGTGGAGGGGTGATTTCTTCTCAAAACAGGGTGGGTGGCCACCCCCGGTTCCAATCCTGAACCCCGGGAAACCCCGCCCCCCATACAAGCCTTTTCCCCAGTTTTAAAAGGGTTTGAACATCTTCCATGAAAAAAATATATCTATAGGTAGTCCTCGACTTATGACCACCATGGAGACCAACATTTCTGTTGCTAAGCGAGACAGCGGTTAAGTGGCTTTTGTCCCATGTTACGAACTTTCTTGCCACCGTTGTTAAGTGAATCGCTGCCGTGGATTAAGTTAGTCACACGGTTGTTAAGTGAATCTGGCTTCCCCCCGTTGACTTTGCTTGGTCAGAAGATCACAAAAGAGGATCACGTGATCTCAGGACACCACAACCGTCATAAGTACATGCCAGTTGCCAAGCACCTGAATTTTTAATCACGTGATCGTGGGGGATGTGGCAATGGTCGTAAGTGTGAAAAATGGCCGCAAGTCTTTTTTTCCAGTGCCGTTCTAACTTTGAATGGTCACTAAATGAACTGTTGCAAATCGAGGACTACATGTACTGCTGTGTGATCTAATTCCTTCCCAAATTATAATCATAAAAATCCACTATCCTTATCTCAGTTAATTTATACAGGTAGTCCTCAACATACGACCACAATTGAGCCCAACATTTATGTTGTTAAAGCAAGAAATTTATTAAGTGCATCGCGTCCCATTCCTTGCCACCGTTATTAAGTGAATCACTGCGGATCTTAAGTTGGTCACGGTTGTTAAGTGAATCTGGCTCCCCGTTGACTTTGCTTGGTCGCAAAAGGGGATCATTTGGCCCCAGCAACCGTCATAAATACAAGTCAGTTGCCAAGCGTCTGAATTTTAATCACGTGATCATGGGGATGCTGCAAAGGTCATAAGTGTGAAAATTGGTCATAAGTTACTTTTTTCAGTGCCGTTGTAACTTCGGTCACTAAATGAACTGTTGTAAATCGAGGACTTCCTATATTATGCCATAGTTGGAGATTGCAGGTTGCAAAGGGATGAGAAGCGGAGATGTTTCTAAGTTTAAATAATGTGTATTCATGGAGGAGAATGTGAATATTCTTTTTTCTTTAAAAAATAATATTGTCTCCAGAGAATTATCTCTCTGCTCCCTTCAATCCAATTCCTTGCTACTGATAAATGTATTTTTTTGGCCAAGAGAAGATTTTGCTATCTACTGCCCCCTGCTGGTTATATTAAACCCATTTTTTTTCTTCTGGAATTTTTAGTCACATTTTACCCTAAAAACTTTCAGAAAATACCCGGAATTCTTAAAATTAGTGAACAGAAACTTTTCTGATTTTTTAAAATTAATAAACTAGTGTTTTGTTTTTTTAAAAAAAATCCTCATCTAATAAGCACAATGGGTGGAAACTTATCAAGGAGACATTCAACCTAGAACTAAGGAGAAATTTCCTGACAGTGAGAACAATTAACCAGTGGAACAACTTGCCACCAGAAGTTGTAAATGCTCCAACACCATTCTTTTAAAAAAGAGATTGGATAAACATTTGCCTGAAATGATATAAGGTCTCCAGCCTGAACAGAGTGTTGGACTAGATGACCTCTAAGATCCCTTCCAACTCTGTTATTCTGTAAACTGACAATACATTGTCATACCTAGAAAAGGCGGCAAAAAAATAAATAAATCACTATACGGGGAGTCCTCCACTTACGACCCCAATTGAGCCCAACGTTTACGTTGCTAAGTGAGAAATCGGTTAAGTGAGATTTGTCCCATTTTACGACTTTTCTCGACATGACACTGCAACCGTCATAAATGTAAGTCAGTTGTCAAGCATCCGAATGTAAGTCACGTGACCATGGTGCAACGGTCGTACGTGTGAAAAAGGGTCGTAAAGTCACTTTCTTCAGTGCCGTTGTAACTGCGAACGGTCACTAAGCGAATTGTGGTAAGGCGAGGTCTACCTGGTTTTAAGTGTTTTGCAATTAAAGTTTCTAACAGTTTACTCTCACTTTTGCGTATGCTAAACCCAAGCCAGGCAGTCACATTATAGCTTAACTAGATCAGAAATCGGCAACCTGGGGCTCTGGAGCCGCATGTGGCTCTTTCACCCCTCTGCTGTGGCTCCCTGTCACTCAAAATAGGCATCACAACCGCCAATGTGTGACACCCGCCGGGACGCGATTTATTGAGCTTTTCAACACCCGGTAGGCCAACCGTGGGTAAATCCAAGAAAAGAAAAGTTTCAGAAGAAAACAGAACGTTTAATTCAACTGCATATGCTAGTTTTGTGGCTGCTCAAGAAATAGTCAGGCACGGGAAGGGTTTTGTGGCTCCCGGTGTTTTCTTTTCTGTGGGAAACGGGTCCAAATGGCTCTTTGAGTGTTTAAGGTTGCAGACCCCTGATCTAGTTTATGCAACTCTAATGCAATTTGTCTAGTTTTGGCTTAGCAACGAGAGATGGCTAATCAGGATTAGCCAGAGAGCAAACGCAGCCAGTAAAATGTCCAGGATTTCAGCCTTAAACTATTATTTTACTTTGGAGTAAACCTACACAACAGAACAGAACAGAACAGAACAGAATAGAAATAAGGAATGGAATGGAATGGAATGGAATGGAATGGAATGGAATGGAATAGAATAGAATAGAATAGAATAGAATAGAATAGAATAGAATAGAATAGAATAGAATAGAATAGAATAGAATAGAAGAACAGAACAGAACAGAACAGAACAGACAGAACAGAACAGAAATAAGGAATGGAATGGAATGGAATGGAATGGAATGGAATGGAATGGATTAGATAGAATAGAATAGAATAGAATAGAATAGAATAAATAGAATAGAATAGAATAGAATAGAATAGAATAGAATAGAATAGAACAGAACAGAACAGAACAGAACAGAACAGAACAGAACAGAATAGGAAGGGACCTTGGAGGTCTTCTTAGTCCAAGCCCCTTCTCAAGCAGGAGTACCTATACCATTTCAGACAAATGACTCTCCAGTCTCTTCTTAAAAACTTCCAGTGATGAAGCACCCACAACTTCTGGTGGCAAGCTGTTCCACTGGTTAATTGTCCTCCCTGTTAGGAAGTTTCTCCTTAATTCCAGGTTGCTTCTCTCTGTGATTAGTTTCCAACCATTGTTTCCAACATGAGACTTCAAGTTTGGCTGCAGGTGTAAATTGATGGAGCTTTAGTCGATACAGGTAGTCCTCGACTTATGACCGCAATGGAGCCCCAAATTTCTATTGTTAAGTGAGACATTTGTGCAGTGAGTTTTGCCCCATTTTTATGACTTGCCTTGGCCACAGTTGTTAAGTGAATCATTGCAGTTGATACGTTAGCAACCCGGTTGTTAAGTGAAACTGGCTTCCCACTTGACTTTGCTGGCACTGAAGGTCGTAAAAAGGGATCCCGTGACCCTGGGGACTCTGCAACCGTCATAAGTATGAAGCAGTTGCCAGGATCTGAATTTTGATCACATGATCACGGGGGATGCTGCAAAGCATCGTAACTGTGAAAAACGTTCCTAACTAAGTCACTTCTTTCAATGCCGTTGTAACGTCGTAAGTCGAGGACTACATATACTGCTGTGTGATCTGATTCCTTCCCAAATTATAATCATAAGAATCAGTGGTGAAATCTAAAATTTGTTACTACCGGTTCTGTGGGCGTGGCTTGGTGGTGGGGGTAATGTGACTGGGTGGGTGTGGCCAATTTTTTTTTTTAACTTTTAAAACCATTTTTTCTACAACCTCTTCAGCGAAGAGGTTGTAAAAAAATGCTTTCAAAAAGCTCTGACGATCCCAGCTGAGTTGCCTGATCGGCAGAGGCTTTTTTTTCTTTTAAATGCCTCTGACGATCAGGCAACTCAGCTTGAACCATCAGAGGCATTTAAAAATAAAAAAAGCCTCTGCTGATCAGGCAACTCAGCTGGGATCATCAGAGGCATTTAAAAGAAAAAAAGCTTCTGATGACTGTGCGGCTCAGCTGGGCATGGGGGTGGGGCAGGGATTTTTGCTACTGGTTCTCCGAACCACCCGCTTCCATCACTACCGGATCGGGCGATCCGGTCCGAACCGGGAGCATTTCACTCCTGATAAGAATCCACTATCCCTATCCCAGTTAATTTATACGGGTAATCCTCCCTGTAGTTTGCCCAGAAATAAATTTTTGAAATGCCGTGACTTCGAAGATCAAATTTCTTTTGAGTTTCAGAACATTGCGCACATGATTACAATTGTGTGGTTCCTTATAAGTGCCATAGTGTAAGCAAAGAAAAAAAGCATCAAAATTGGCATTTCCTTTTAAAAAAATGTGTGGCAGGGTCACAGCCTTAGAGGTTTTATGATTTATTGATCATATGAAGTCATATTTTAGTAGCGAGAAGCTGTAAATCTCCAAACTCCTCATTTATTTTGGCAGCGAAGTGAATACCGGAGTATTTACTGCAAGATATCTGATGTTCTCCAGTAAGAAGGAAGCTATTAAAAATAAAATCCCTTTTGTCCTGAGTCACCAGGCCTTGGCAGAGATAAGCAGATCTGATTGGGGCTTGCTCAATTTTATTAAAAAGGATCTTTTAAAAACACCCCACCTTTAGTTAAAACTTGTATTTTATTGTAAACATTAATGCCATTTTTTATTTTATACATTTTACAGCTAGTCCTCGACTTACGACCCCAATGGAGGCCAACATTTCCTGTTGCTAAGTGAGACATTTGTTAAGCGAGCTTTGGCCCCCTATTATAACTTTTCTTGCCACATTTGTTAAGGGATTCGCTGCAGTTAAGTTAGTAACTTAATGGCTTCCCCATTGAACTCGCTGGTCAGAAGGCCGCAAAAGGGGATTGCGTGACCCCAGGATACGGCAATGGTCATAAGTATAAAACAGTTGCCAAGGATCTCGCTTTTGATCACGTGACCCTGGAGATGCCGCGGTGGTTGTGTGCAAAAAACGGCCACAAGCCCATTTTTTTCTGGGCCGTTGTTCACTTTGAATGGTCGCTAAATGAACTGGTATAAGTCGAGGACTACCCTGTATACCATTTTTAAAATACATTTTATTTTCACGTTGGAAACCGCCCAGAATCACCTTGTAGAAAGATGGGTGGAAATTTTAATCAATCAATAAATGAATAAATAAATAAATTTGCTTTAGAAATGTCCCCAAGAAAATGCCGTATTTTTCGGACTATAAGATGCACTTTTTTGTTTCCCAAAAGGGTGAAAATGTCTGTGCGTTGTATAGACTGAATATTGGCGAAGCCCCCCCATCCGCCAGCCATTTTTTGGCCTCTGCATGCCCCATTATCAGGGCTTTTTTTGGCCCATTTTCGGGGCTTTTTATGGCCCATTTTTGAATCTTTCTTCAGCCCGTGTTTGAGGCTTTTTTCGGCCTGTTTTGAGGCTTTTTTTCGAGGCTTGTTTTCAGCCCATTTTCAAGGCTTTTTTCGACCCATTTTTCCCGAAAAAAAAACAGGCTGAAAAAAGCCTCAAAAATGTGCTGAAAAAAGCCTGCTTCCAATGGTGGTATTCAGCCGGTTTGGACCAGTTCAGGCAAATTGGATGCTAATTTTACATCTGGTTCGTCGAACCGGTATTGCAAGGACTGGCTGTCCCCATCCATCTCACCCCGCACCTCCCGGGAGTCTCCACATGGCCCATTTTGGATGTCAGGTAAGTGCAGGGCCCACATGGAGGCTCAAGGAAGGCAAAAATCGGGCCTCCTGGAAGTTGGGTCTCCAGAGGGCCTCTGGAGCCTGGGGGAGGCCATTTCCGGTCTCCAGAGGGCCTCTGGAGCCTGGGGGAGGCCGTTTTCACCCTCCCGGAGGCTGGAGGAAAGCCTTCGGAACTGGGGAGGGCAAAAAATGGGCCTCCCGGAAGTTACAGAAGTCTGGAAATGGGCCCGTTTCCAGCCTCTGGAGGCCAGGGGAGACCATTTTCACCCTCCCAAAGGCTCAAGGAAAGCCTCTGGAGCTTTGGGAGGATGAAACACCCCCCTGCCGTGGTGCAGGAGACCGAGTAGGCCACGCCCACCATGGCCACGCCCACCCAGCAACCGGGCAGAGAACTGGTTGCTAAAATCTTTGAAGCCCACCCCTGCCCCCTTCTCAAGGATGATGGGCCTTGTGGTTCCTCAGCTCTCGGAGAACGCTGGTTCTTCCCTCTCGCGTCTTAGCCGGTTGGGCTAAAATCAGGAGTGGAATGTTCCCGGTTTGGATCGGATCGGGCGATCTGGTAGCGATTGTGGCAGGTGGTTCGGAGAACCGGTAGCAATGGTGGCGCGAGGCTCCGCCCACCCGCTCGGGTGTCGTTACTTCCTGCTTTTAAAAGGTAAAAACAAAAGGCTCTGACGATCGTGCGCCACAGCTGTGATCGTCAGAGCCTTTTTTTAACCTTTTAAAAGCATTTTTTAACAACCTATTCGCCCGAATAGGTTGTAAAAAAATGATTTAAAAAGTAAAAAAAAAAAAAGTTGGCCACACCCACCCAGTCACATTACCCTCCCCCCCACCAAGCCACACCTACAGAACCAATAGTAACAAATTTTACATTTCACACAGGCTAAAATGATTTCTTTCTCCTTGCAGAAGACAAAGGAAGTGACCAAGAGCCGGAGAAAGGGTCGGGGGTGAAGAGATCCACCCCTGACCGGGGTCCGGCCAGCCCACCCCACAACCACAGCCCCGGCTTGCAGGCGGAAGAACGGAGTAAAGAACGGGGCAAAGCTGGCGAGGCCTCCAAGGAAGGTGGTGGGGAGGCAGCCCTCTTCACCCCTCTGGCCTTGGAGAAGGAGAAGCTGGAGGGCAGAAGGAAGGAACCTCTCCTGCAGCCTCCCCAAGAAGGATCCAAAAAGGAATTGCCCGGAGATTGCACCCCGGTGGGGTGCAGCAGCAAAGAAGCCTTCGCCCCACTGATGGTGCAGACCGACAGCCCTCCGCACTTGAACCCAAGTCATCTACAAAGTTTGGCTCTCTCGGGTCTTCACGGTCAGCAGTTCTTCAACCCTCTGGGCGCCGGCCAACCCTTCTTTCTTCACCCGACCCAGTTTGCGATGGCGCCCGGAGCCTTTTCGGCGATGGGCATGGGACACTTGCTGGCTTCGGTGGCAGGCGGAGGGAGCTTGGAAAACGGGGGACTCTCGGCTCCTCAAGGGACGGCGGGAACCACGACCCCGTTCCCTTTCCATTTGTCCCAGCACATGTTGGCTTCTCAGGTAAGGGGCGAGGAGTGGAGGGGGGCAAAGGGTTGACTTCCCTTTGTGAGAGGGATCTTGGACGATCGTTTAAATATGAGCCAGCCGTGTGCTGCAGCTGCCAAAAAAGCCGACACAGTTCTAGGCTGCATCAACAGAGGGATAGAATCAAGGTCACGTGAAGTGTTAATCCCACTTTATAAGGCCTTGGTAAGGCCACACTTGGAATCCTGCATCCAGTTTTGGTCGCCACGATGTAAAAAAGATGTTGAGAGTCTAGAAAGAGTGCAGAGAAGAGCAACAAAGAGGATTAGGGGTCTGGAGGCTAAAACATATGAAAAACAGTTGCAGGAATTGGGTATGCCTAGTTTGATGAAAAGAAGGACCAGGGGTGACATGATAGCAGTCTTCCAATATCTCAGGGGCTGCCCCAAAGAAGAGGGAGTCAAGCTATTCTCCAAAGCACCTGAGGGCAGGACAAGAAGCAATGGGTGGAAACTCATCAAGGAGAGAAGCAACCTAGAACTAAGGAGAAATTTCCTGACAGTGAGAACAATTAACCAGTGGAACAACTTGCCTCCAGAAGTTGTAAATGCTCCAACACTGGAAGTTTTTAAGATGATGTTGGATAACCATTTGTCTGAAGTGGTGTAGAGTTTCCTGCCTAAGCAGGGGGTTGGACTAGAAGACCTCCAAGGTCCCTTCCGACTCTGTTATTCTATTCAATTCCCCTCTTCTGCTCAGGATGGGGCCAGTCAAGGGCTAGATCAGTGTTTCTCAACCTTGGAAGCTTGAAGACGGGTGGACTTCAACTCCCAGAAACCCCCAGCCAGCGCTGCTGGCTGGGGGATTCTGGGAGTTGAAGTCCACCCGTCTTCAAGCTACCAAGGTTGAGAAACACTGGGCTAGATTTACAGTCCTTCTTGTAATATGTCACCTTTAAGTTTGGTGGACTTCAACTCCCAGCCTATAGGAACTTAGAACATACATGGAAGGGACGAACTGGTAGTTAAATTACTGGCTGGCCCCTCCCTTCCAGGAGTCCCCCCGCGCCCCGTTTTTGCTCCCAGGAGGCTGCAGGGAGGCCTACTAGGCCTTAAACGGGGCACGGGGGAGTGCGTCCCCCCCCAAGGCTTGTTTTTGCTCCCAGGGGTGTGCAGGAGGCCGAGTGCTGCCTGTCACACCCCCTGGCCACACCCACCATGGCCATGCCAACCCAGCCGGTCATTAGGGCAGAGAACCGGTTGTTAAATTATTTGAATCCCACCACTGCCGGTGATGCTCAAATTTCTCACCTCTAAGACCTGTGGACTTCGACTCCCAGAATACCTAGGCAGAGATCTCATAGCGTTCAGTGGTGGGTTCCTGCCGGTTCGGCCCGGTTCTGCCGAGCCGGTAGCGGTGATGATATGACATCACCGAACCGGTTCTCCCTCCGCCTCCCCCCACCTCCCCCATCCCCACATTATTCTTACCTTTTATTTGGCCCCACCCCCAATCTATTGCTGCCTCCTGAGTCCCAGCTGATGGCTAGAGGGAAAAAACTGTTTAAACTCTTGCCGTGGGGCTTCAAAGGGCCGCCCTACAGCTGATCAGTGTTAAAAGAAAACAAATGAGTAGACCGGTGCCTGCAAAAATAAATGGGTAGACCAGTGCCTGCAAAAATACATGAGTAGACCGGTGCCTGCAAAAATAAATGGGTAGACCAGTGCCTGCAAAAATACATGAGTAAACCGGTGCCTGCAAAAATAAATGGGTAGACCAGTGCCTGCAAAAATACATGAGTAAAACGGTGCCTGCAAAAATAAATGGGTAGATCAGTGCCTGCAAAAATACATGAGTAGACCGGTGCCTGCAAAAATAAATGGGTAGATCGGTACAGCTCTGCAAGCAGTTAAGAGCCTGGTAGACCAGTACCTCTGCTAAATCCTAAAGAATTGTCACATGACCATCAAGCCACGCCCACAAAATAAGCCAGGCCCACAGAACCGGTAGTAAAAAATTTTAGAACCCACCCCTGATAGCGTTGTCAACAATGTCATGCCTTGGGATACAAATCATTTATTGGTCAGTTCTGCTGGCCTCCAGCGATGACTTCCAGAAGACAACCAATGTCTCTCTGAGCATGGCAGGGAAAAACATCAGGAGTTATGGACAACGTCCCTTGATCGAAGCTAACGGCTCCAGTTCTGATGGCTGGTTTTTCTACCTGAAGGACCTCCAAGATTCTCCTCTTACGTTTCTCAGTTGGATGGAGTTGACTTAACAAAGTCAACTGTTGACTGAGGACGTTGCTAAGAAGAACAAGTTTAGGGAATGACCTGCACTGGATTTGTGGTGTTTTTTCTTCTTCTTGTTGTTGTTACTGATTTCTTTTGCACGCTTACAAACTTTGCAATTGTAATCTGCTGCAGTGGTGGGATTCAAATAATTTAACAACCGGCTCTCTGCCCTAATGACCCTCTGGGTGGGTGTGGCTATGGTGGGCGTGGCTAGGGGGTGTGACAGGCAGCAATCGGCCTCCTGCACCCCTCTGGGAGCAAAAACGGGCTGCCGGGGGGGGGACGCGACGGGCCGCCCCACCTCCCTGTGGCCCGTTTTGGGCCTAGGAGGCCTCCCTGCACTTACCGTACCTGGGAGCTAAAATGGGGCACGTGGAGACTCCTGGAAGGAGCAGGAAGGGGTGGAGCCAGCCAGCTATTTAGCTACCGGTTTTCCCGAACCGGCCTGAACCAGCTAAATCTTACCATTGGTCGTCTGGTCCGATTTTTATAGCAAGAAGTACTTTTTAAAAAAAAAACTAAATAGTGATTGGGTCTCAAAAACAGATCTGTTCAAGTCTGGCCTCTAGGTTATTAATCAAACCTACCTTCTGCAATTCGTTTATAGCACCCTCTGCCTCCAGAAAATGGGCTAATTGAATAAATTTTGGTTAAATTAAACATGGCTAAGCACGATGTGTCAAGGCAGATAAGGAATTGCACAGTAAGCGATGAAGAACGAGTGTTCTTGATGGCCCAAATATGTTGGGATGTAGAATATGGGTAGTCCTCGATTTACGACCACAAATTGGGACCCGAATTTCCATGGCTAAACAAGGCGATTGTCATTTAGATATGTATATTATTTATCTTTATCTTTATTAATTAATTAAATTTATTGCCGCCCAGCTGACCACAGGGTAACAATTTTGCAATTGTTAAGCAAATCACTGCCATTGTTAAATGAATCACATGGTCATGAAGCAAATCCGGCTTTTCCCCCATTGACTTTGCTTGTCGAAAGCTGGCTGGAAAAGTCACAAATGGGGAATCACGTGACCATGAGGTCAGGGGTGGGTTCTACCTACCTTTACTCCCGGTTTGCAATGGGGCTGCGCGTGCGCTGTTCTGCACATGCGCAGAAGCATTTTGATGACGTCGGGGTCGGTGGGCGGAGCTTCTCGCTGGTTTTACTACCTGTTCTATAGAACCGGTGCGAACTGGGGGCAGCCCACCACTGCATGAGATGCTGCAACTGTTCTAAATACATGATATATTTGTTTATATAATATAGAATACAAAAAGATGAAAGCAAATAGTAGGAAAAATGAGGGAAAGGAGAAATGTAGAAAAGGGAGAAAGGGCGTTGACTTGTGATTGCCTCTGGTGCAGTACAGGTATCTTATAAGACAGGGTCTTATTTTCGGGGAAACATGGTACCAACTTGATATAATAGAATCAGTGGTAAAATCCAATTTTTTTTTACTACTGGTTCTGTGGGCGTGGCTTGGTGGGCGTGACGTGGCTTGGTGGGCATGGCAGGGGAAGGATACTGCAAAATCCCCATTCCCTCCCCACTCCTGGGAGAAGGATATTGCAAAATCTCCATTCCCACTCCACTCTGGGGACAGCCAAAGGCGGTATTTGCCAGTTCTTCAAACTACTCAAAATTTCCGCTACCAGTTCTCCGAACTACTCAAAATTTCCCCTACCGGTTCTCCGAACTACTCAAAATTTCCGCTACCAGTTCTCCGAACTACTCAAAATTTCCGCTACCGGTTCTCCAGAACCTGTCAGAACCTGCTGGATTTCACCCCTGAATAGAATGCTTTTGTTGGTAAAAAGACAAAACAGTCCCAGTCAACTTTAAAACTCTGAGCTTGCTTATCTTTGGGTAAAGCCAGAAATCTGGATTTCATTTTTTTTGAGAGGTTTTTATTTTTTTTTTTTGGTTTCGCTGTTTTGCTTTATTTTCTTTTATTCTGCCACATTCCTACATTTTAAGACATCTCCCAATCTATCTTCCCAGTTACTCATCTGTTGTCTCATGAAAGACAAATTCCTTGTGTGTACAATCACATTTGGCCAATAAAGAATTCTGTTCTGTTCTGTTCTATACCATTTCAGACAAGTGGCTGTCCAGTCTCTTCTTAAAAACCTCCAGTATTGGAGCACCCACAACTTCTGGAGGCAAGTCGTTCCACTGATTAATTGTTTTAACTGTCAGGAAATTCCTTCTTAGTTCTAGGTTGCTTCTTTTATTTATTTATTTATTTATTTTTATATGCCGCCCTTCTCCGAAGACTCAGGGCGGCTTACAATGCGTTAAGCAATAGCCTTCATACTTTTGTATATTTTATACAAAGTCAGCTTATTGCCCCCACAGACTGGGTCCTCATTTTACCCACCTTAGAAAGGATGGAGGCTGAGTCGACCTTGAGCCTGGTAATTGCAGGCAGCTGGATGTTAAATGCTGCCTTAATAGGAGGCATTAGCCTCCTATGCCACTCAGGCTTCTCTCCTTGATTAGTTTCCATTCATTGCTTCTTGTCCTGCCTTCAGGTGCTTTGGAGAATAATACCACCTCCTAACTCTATGCATTGTGATTAGGAAAATCACCCCCGCTCTTTTCTTTGGGACACAGATCTCTCTCACAAGATGTAAATAAAATCAAATTTTTATTTTTAAAAGGGGGAAATGATACAATGCATTTTCAATTTTAAGTAGGCATACGTAAAACAATCAGCATGAGATAAAGTAGAAAAATGCCAAAATCACAGACAGGAGCTTAATCTTAATCTTTCAGGCAAAACTACAGAATTAAAAAAATGGTTTAAGGTCCTGAGTATATCACAAGCTCATAGATCTGCTACTAATATAAAAAATAACACTGATATAGAATGTGGAGTTACATAAAGCACAGAATTTACGGAACATTTGAAGAGAACATAAATTTTAGAGACAGTAAATCAAAAATAATAAAATACGTTTAAACACACATCTTAACAAAAATTAATGCATACTTTCTAACTAGACATGTTATTTTTTTTTTTTTAGGATGAAACCGAAGCTC